TACCACATTTTAAGAGATCTTCTGCAAAAACAGGATATAATACAGGACAATAACAGGAATACAGTAGGTACCCCATAAACATTTAAAGCAGCACATAAAGGAACACTTTTCATTATTTTGAAAGTAAACTATATAATTCATCTCATTTACAAAAGAAAAATATTGATAAAATTACCTTTAAAGGAACAACTTTGTCAAGTCTGATTTCAGCTATATCACTGGGTGAATCATCTGTTGTATAGGTTCCTTTGACTAATTCTAGAGAAGTCCATCTGTGCGAATGAGTTGAATCTCCTGCATGTTCGCTCTAATTACAAAAATCCAAAACAAAACCCATCATACTCATTATTACATGAACAATTTTCACTTATAATTAATTATTGTTTTAAAGTAGTTTATTTCCTTGCATATAAAATTAGCTCTTAGCATTGCCCTATACATACTAAAAAATTATTTTTGGTACTCTATAAACTATTCACTTTTATCTGATTTCCTGATTAGTCTACAACCTAAATCATATAAATAGGCTTTTCTCATCTGATGTCTTAAAACAATTCCCACTTCTTTCACAAGAAGAATGCTATATACAATTATAGAGCCTAATGAAGCAGGGAAAAAATTTAAATTAATTGCTCAAAAGAATCAAATACAGATATACTGCTATTCGAAAAACTACCTTTCTGTCCAATTTTTATGAAAACTCAGGTACTTTAAGTAATTTAGAGAATACAGCAAATACAGCTAATCAATATTATCTATACTAAGAATCATCTATTAGCACTCTACAACAAAACTGCTTAATCACAGATACAGGTAATAATATCAGTCTGAATATTGTTCTTGCTTCCTGAAAACTTACAATAGCAAAAAAAAAAAAAATTACTCAAGATTATAATTTCTAGTCTTTTCATTTAAAATCTTCCCTGGAAGTAATAAAAAAAAGTGAGGAGTGATCCAAGATGGCACACAAGCAATTAGGTAGAATAGCTCTCTCAATTCTTTATGGTCATCCATCCATGACTGATCTGCTAAACCCTCAAAGATTTAGACTATCATACTATGATAATAGTAAGTCCTGACACACAATTCACACAGAAACATGAACATGGTAAGAGTGGTACTTACATCATCAACCAACACCTCTAATTCATATTCATGAATTCCACCTCCTCCATATACTGAAAAACCAACCACAACTATTCCAGGCTTGTCTACTGAAAAACATATTGCATCAGGGGACCCATTCCCAGTGTTCCAACTTCTTCCCTGACTTGTTTTTGTGAATCGGTTAGCACTGGCTTTAACAGAGTGGAGAGAATTAAGTCCATCAATCTGTGAATGACAAAAGCCATTATTACATCAGTAGTCTGTTCCTGAGTGTTATTATAATAATATACCTTTAACAAAACCATCCAATGGTTTCTAAGAAGTTCAATGGAATAACCTACATTTAACAAGTGAGTTTAAACTTTCCTAAAGGTACATTCTATTAAGAGATTAACCAGCAATAAAACCAGATTTTATCATTCTACGTTCACAAATCAATATCATCTAAGAATATTTTCTTCTTTTAGTTATATTAAACTATACATTTCACTGAATTTATAATGTCAGAACTATAAACTTTTAAGTTATCACAGTCATACCATATGACTGAATTATCACTCACTTTGAAGAGATACCAAAAATTCCATCAACATTCTATAGGCCACAAGTTGTCAAACTGCTACGCAGAACTCTAGGAATGCTGCAGACATAGGTATTCAAGAAAGAGGTGGACTCGGGTTCTCCTCTTTAGTCAGACCATCCCCTCCTCTTATCGGGGAATTTTCAAGTAAGCCTTCATTTGCAGAAAATATTCTATCTTAGGTTTAAATACCACTAATGTACACAGTGATATTATAAGTTGGCATTCAATAGTTTAAAACATATATGTACGAATACAAGTTCATTAATTACAGACTCTCATTAGAGAGGATCAGAGAATGTCATTTTGGTTTGAACCCACTCTTTTTTTTTTTTTTTTTTATTTTTGGCTGAGCCATCCTGCTACCTGTTGGCAGCTCAGCGGCTGCTCAGCTCGGGCTGGACTCGAACCGCTGTTGCTCAGAGCTCAAACTCTTGAGTGAGCTCTTAACCAACTGAGCCACTCGGCCGGCCCTTGAACCCACTCTTTTTAATAATAGACCCTGCTGCTGATCTAAGTTGGCTGCAGAAATTTGGAAGACCTATGAGAGGAAAAAAACTGAAGTTTATGATTCTAGCAAGAATGACAAACTCCTCTGGGAAAGAAAGAAACATGAATATCTAAGACAGGACCTCTTTGGGAACTCCCGAGGTTATACACTAGGTATCTGTAACTTGGGGTATTTCTTTTCATTAGGAAGGAAGTTCACAGGGGATAACCAGATAGTAACATTCTGAGGGGGACCCTATGCACTACAGACTTTTTCCTCCAAGATCTATTATAAATGGGAAGCATATTATAGGCTGAAGGAAGAAGTAAAACAATTAAAATTTTTTCACAAGTGCCTTTGAGGCCAAAGCCAAAGCTAACCAAGAAATGGAGGAACTGATTCCCAGGGTGAGATACTAAAATTTGCTCAGATGCATGTAATCATTCAAAAATCCTAAACAAAGGCTTAACTGTCACTACAAATCAGTAATGAGTGTTGACTGGATGTGTTAATTCAGAATAGATTCTAAAATAAATCTATAAGTTAAAAAAATACAACACAAAGACTAGGAATTATAAAAGTAAAATAGAGGAAAAAAGCTCTTTTGTAAGAACTTGAGACCTGGGACCACTGAGTATATGCTAATTATTAAATATCCATTTGAATGATATAAGATATTTCATATTATGACATGATTTTCAAAACTAATACACTGTCTGCTTTGGGGGAAAAAAATAGAAACATTCACCAAATTCAGCCAAACTGTTTTAAATTATAAAACAGATTGAGTAGGGCAGTGAAATGGTGAAGTATAATGCTACTTTACAAAATATAAAGACACTTTAAAATGTTTCAAAATGGTTTTTCTTAAATACAATATTTGATCCTTTTAAAACTTTGTGATAATGGCTGTACAACAATGTGAATGTACTTAATGCCATTGAACTGTACATATGAAAATAGAATGGTAAATTTTATGCTATCTATATTTTACTACAATTAAACTTTATGACATAGGTGAGATAAAAATTATTATTCCCATTGTACATATGTATTTGTCTAGGGTCAATTAAGTGGGCAGAGCTAAGGTTTGAACCTCATTGCCTTTTCCATACCATGTGTCTATCCATTCACAGTAACCCTACTTCTACTACTCATTACCCAGCAATGCAAACTATTTTTGCTTTTATTGGGACATGGCAGTGGGGTTGTGCAGTGGGGAAGCTAAGAGAAAAATGTATATACTTTGTATTACTGTGACATCCTGGGTAAACTGGTGAGAGAAGAAGCAAATAAGAACAGAGAAGAGGTATAAGGAAAGGAAAAATAAACAGCTTACCTCGAAGATATATTTTTAAGAAACAGAAAAATACAATGGGACTGAAATCAGTTTTAACTGAGCCAAAATGAATAAAAAAGAAACAATGTGGAAAGTTTAAACATGTGCTTATTATGCACTCTCAGAACAGGCCATTACCTCAGATCCCAGGGCCGAGGCTGTCAGTTCACTGACAATGCTGGCCAGTAACCCACAGGTGTTGGAGACCAGGTGGGAGGAGAAGAGCTCGTTTTCTCTGCGCAGGCTGTTCCTGACTGGGAGCACGACGATCACCAGCATTTTCTCCAGAACTTCACGGAAGCTCGTCATCCCTGAGATATTCTCTTCACTCTGACACAGGAACAAGAACAGTTCCAAGAGGCTGCTTTATTTTCCTTCACATGAGCACTCAATTGCAAAATCTTGTCTTGATGACACCCTTAAAGTTCAGACTTTAGTCTATGTCTATAAATCTATCCAGCTGTATGTGGAGTCATTGTATCTACTTTTCACTTAGAAGCTCTTGTTGACTTATTAGTCTCTGTATTATAATAGTACCATATGTTTATAAAAATACATGTTTATGTATTTTTATTAGTAATTTTCACTTATTCTCTTAATTTTCAATAACAATCCTATTTGACAAACAGAATAAAACTGCTCCCTTTTTAAAAGCTTTTTCTATAGGACAAGATTCCAATCTGAGATAATTATTTCTGGTATAGTTAGAGGTAAAGCAACTAAAAAATACTGTAGTCTAAAAGTCTATTTTCTAACAAAATTCTGTACATGCATGAAATAAAACTACGGAATTCTATAACTATTCCTACACAACTTTACAAATTCTATGTACATATTTGATTTCATAAGTGAAGATAGAAAAATTCCAACCCCTATCAATGGAAGAAGTTCAAGATAAGAAATTACAGAATCCCATTAAATAAAGATCAATGGGAAAATACTTTTTTTTCCAGAAAAAAAGGGAAAAGAGATTAAGTTTAATTGATATCCAGCATGAACATTATTTACCATCCTTTATGATCTTTAGTATCTCTCAGCCTATCATGGACAGAGAGCAAAACGCATTTAATTTCATCAAGGGGCCAATTGTAACCAAGGATCCTTTCAGTTTTACTGTCGGACTAGAAAATCAAGCAATTCGCATCTAGTTCCAGTTCATTCATAGTGACTCAACTTCTTCATCTGTAAAGTCAGGGGAATTCTTTGCTATGACTCAGTTATCAAAAATTTGTGGCCCCTTGAGTATGCAAGTTCTTCTACACTGCTTTACAAGCTATAGTATATATAACAGTTTCAACAGATTTCATAAAGTCATAAAATCTCAGGGCATAAAAGGATCATAAAGGTAAATCACTCTTTCAAACACAGATCAAATATGTAAATGAATATACTTTCAATCCATTAGAGAAAATTAAGTAAATTTTCAGTTCAAATCATCATGAGTGTTATTATGAATCATTCTCAATCTCTTCTTTAATGTACAACCCTAGGCTGAAAAAAATAAGTCACTTAGTAATAATATTCCATCTTTATGTTATTTATATTATCATTTTAATAAGATTACTCTTTTTGGTCAATTTCTTATTTAACTGACAAAATCAATTCTTGATTTTATTAAAATTATAATTCTTTTATCCCTATATCACTCTCATTCTCCAGAAACTTTAAATTCTGGAACATCTCAGAAAGTGAAACTTTTGATAAAATTCAATCCCCTAGTGTCTTTCACAATCAATTATCTTGTAGGGCTTTGTTTGGGGGTAGGGGGTGAGGGGTGGGAGGTAGGTGGAGTGTTTTTTAGTTATGTTCACTTAGTATCTAAAGACAAAAACAATAATAATAGCACATCACTGGCCATTAAAATTTTTAAAAAGGTAACTTTATTCACTAGTGGGGAGCTCAAGCTCACACTAGCTTTCTGGAGGGCATTTGGCCAATTTGTAACAAAGTCTTAACAAGCTTTCCATTGATTTAAGAATTTTTCTATTCCTGAAGATTTATCCTAGAAAAATCAACATGAATATACATAAAAATTTAGTCAATAATATTTTCAACAGCATTGTTTAAAACATTGAATTATGGGAAATAAAAAATATATATTTGATTAAATTATCATACTACACTCAAATGGTAGAATTCTATAATATCCATTATAAAGAAGGGAAAGAATATATACTAACCAGGATAATCTTCACAGAATATTCAGACAGACAAAAAAATATACAATTATTAATAATCACCAAATGTTAGTTCTCTAAAAATGTATTAAAATATTGTTAAATTTTACTGTATTTTTAAAGAAAACACTGCAACCGAATTCCAAAAGAAAAAAAACAGATACCCATAACTTTATCACCAAAGCACTAGTTTCATTTCTCAGTATTCTCTTCCAAAATATGTATTACATACATATTACAAAATATATGCCTTCTGCATATATTTCACAGTCATCATAGAACATACATACTTTTGTTTCTGATTTTTTAATTTAAAAATGTCTTGATGTTAAATATATAGTTATTTTTAATGGCTGAGCCATATTCTATCAAGTTGATATATCTAAATTCAACTATTTCACTTAATGATGTACAGTTATGCCTCTAATTAAGATTTCTAATTTTTCCTTTTAATAATACACATATATATCTTTTGGCTTCAAATTGTTTCCCAGATTATTTCCCTTGCAAATATTCATCACAGGTAATACTAAATTGACAATTTATCTCACAAAAATATCTTCTATATACTCTAGTTTAAGAGCTATATTTATTTTTTCACTCATCTCAACTAGTACCTAATTATATTCCCAGTAAATAGTAGATGCACAATCAATAGTTGCTGAAAGATGGGAAGAATAAGATTATGTATACTAATTACATAATGCCATCAGCCATTTCTAAGTTTAGCAGGTTTCCTCATAGTTTCACCAGCATAGAACTTACTAGGAAATTTATTTTCCCTAACTTTTTTTTTTTTTTTTTTTAAGGATTTTATTGGGGAATTGGGAGAGGGGAACAGCACTGGGGAATCGAGGGATTCCCCCGATTCTTCACTCTAGTTGTGGAGGATGTTGTTTTGTTCTTCAGTCTAGTTGTGGAGGATGTTGCTTCACTGGCCCAAGCTGGCACCATCATTGCGCTCTTCCTGGTGCGGGGGGCAGGCAGATCAGTCGCCAGCTTCTGGATGGCCGCTCACGGCGGCTGCTGGCGGTTCACGCTGGCTGCCAGCTACATATGGTAGCTTATGGCAGCCCACTGCAGCAGGGGCCGCAGTCTACGCTGTTGCCAGCGACCCACGGCAGCCCAGCTCCAGGTTGAGCTGTTGTTCAGCATCTTAGCTGTAGGGCAGTGTCACTGGCCCTCATATGTGGGATCCGAACCGGGGCCCTCTGGCATCCCAAGCCAGTTCTTAACCAACGTGCCTCTCAGCCGGCCCAACTTTTGGCCCAACTTTTTTCCTGACTTTTTACAAATAAGGTGATAACTTTAATAGAACTTTCATTCACATTTAATCACTAGTAAGGCTGAAATTTTTCCCATGTTGCCTTACTCTAAAGTCCTTCTTATATTTACTTTTATTATTTCTATCGAGATCTTACAAAGGTATTATATTAACTTTGGAAATTTTCTTTCCATTCTGCTATTATCATTTTTTGTTTTTATACGTCATTGAAATTTTTTCACTTTTTTTTTCTGTTGCTTCAGTCAACAAAAAAATTGCTATTGTACAATAATTAGGATACTTTTTCTATTTTCTAATCCTTTTTAAACTTTTATTTTAAAGATTAATTCTCATCAACTTGGGAGTAATTATATATGGTTTTCATGAGTATTTAAGTTAATTCATCTCTATCGTGCTTTCTAATAAACTAGTAAAGAATGAGACTGTTTCTATGGCTATTGTTTTATTATGCTTATTTAATGTACCAAAATGTTATAGAAAATGTTTTAAAAGTTATTTATTTCTTTAGAATTCTATCTTCGCAATCTAAAATATTAGAATATAAAGGTTTGCTTATAGTATCTGCAACTTTCAAATGGTTCAGCCAAAAACAAATACACAGGAATTCATTACATACTCTCTCAAATTCTTTACAGGTTAGGGATCCTTCAAAATAAAAAAAAAGAGAGAAAAAAGATTGCACATTCACAGGTAAGCATGAAAATTTTTTTTCTTAATTTTAGCTCTTCTTGTGAAACACATAATCATTTGATAAATATATTTACTGACATAGAAGAATTAGCACCAAAGGTCAAGATGCCTTCATTTATGGTTTTATTGCTTCAATATAAAGGGTATTTCAGAAGACCTACCTGGCTGAGTTTTTCCATATGTGCTACTAAAAGGGGAAAACGGTGAACCAGTGTTGAGTCATTCTCTGTGCTAACTTGCTTAACGATTGATCGTAGTAGTACTTCTCCATCATATGCAATAGGGAAGATAGAAGTCAGCTTAACAGAAGTGTGACACAGAGCTGACATAACAGCTGCAAGGAGTCGGCTACTTGATGTCTTGAAGTTTGCTTCTTGGATATCCTTTGAAAACATAAATAGGTAGCACACCAAGGAAATATTGCGTCAGTATAATTCAAGTTTCTGGATATATAAAATGTAAACACCCTTTAAAATCATACCAGAATTTTTTAGTATTCTATCACTTGTCTTATTAAAGACTAATATTACATCAATATATTTAACCACATTTGTTTAAGTTACTACCCAGTGAAAGTGGAAAATTACTAAATATGGTCAAGAAACATCAGCCTCCCATCCCCTAGGGAGTTTATATATTTACATATCCACAGAATCAGTCCTTTCCAGCACTATTCTCAAAGAAAGACATCAAAAAGACCCCAATTGGTATGCATCAAAGGCATTTCCAGTAACTAGCACTGAAACTATTTTCCTCAAATAATTTAAATTGTAATTCTGTGGTACTATAACATTTCACTAATGTTAAAGTCTATAGTAACGTTTCACTAAGGTCAGAAGATTATGTTATCACATTATACAGTTTATTCAGAAAATTAGACACAAACTTGTAAAATGTTATAACAAAGTATTAAAAACTTATTAACACATGGTATTCTAATTTACACAGGAATTTGTGTATCCTTATACAGATTATTTAGTTCATTAAAAATTTGTGTTACAAAATCAGGCTAAAAATAAAGCAACATTCTGTATGTTAAAATAATGTTAGTAAAAATTAGCCTGGTCAGTAACAAACGAAGAATACAGCCAAATCAGACTGGACAAGTTGAGAGAGTGAGAAAGTAATTTGGCTGTGTACTAGTCTAGGCAATAACTGACCCAGGATATTGCATGGTAAAATCTGGCCCCTGCCATATGGCATGGATGAACCTGGAGTACATTACACGGCATGATTCCACGTATTATGAGTTATTTAAAATAGTCAAACTCACAGAAGCAGAGCTGGTGAGAGGGAAATGGGGAACTGGTGTTCAGCAGGTATAATGTTTGTTATAAAAGATAAATAAGTGCTAGACATCTGCTATATAACATCATACCTGTAATTAACAATAACTGAATTGTATACTCAAAATATATGTTATGATGGTAGATTTCATGTTAAGTGTTCTTGCCACAATATTTTTTAAATGCCAAGAAGAATAAATTTAACATGTAAATAGCTAAAAATAAATAAATAAAAACAAAGTTGGACCCAGATGTCATTACTGGGACACCTTCCACTAGTCTAGGATGCCTTGGTTGATGACAGTGAATTTTTTTATTGCGGAGTGTAGTGGGGTGGCCAGAACTTCCAGTACAATGTTGAGTACAGGTGGTGAGAATAGGTACCTCATGTGTTGTTCCCAAACTTGGGAGAGCAATCAATATTTCACATAGGCTTTAAGTTTCCTTAAATCCTAGTTTGCTGAATTCTCATCACCAAATAAGTGCCAATTTTGTCAAATACTATTTTTGATCTATAGTAGGGAATCTCAGTATGTGAAGTGTCTAAGTTATATGTGGATTTCCCATTGTGTAGGTAGTCAGCACACCTAACCCCCACATTGTTCAAGGGTCAAGAGCACTTTTTCTTTATCTATTGGAGGATCATACAATTTCCCCTCCTTATGCAGTTAATACGGTGAACTACACTTATTTTCTAATGTTAAACTACCCTTGGCATTTCTAAGATAAATCCCACTTGGTGTAATACATTTTTTTTTTATATTTCTGGATTTGTTTTAACAAATACTGTCAAGAACTTTTGCATCTATATTTCTGAGTAATATTGGTCTATAATAATTTTTTCTTTTAATATCTTTCTCGGGTTTTAGTATCAGGATAAAGCCAACTTGGTAAAATTGGGAAGTGTTGCCTCCTATATTTTCTGAGTTTGTAAAAGATTGATATTATTACTCATATGTTTAATAAAATTCTTCAATAACAATATCTGTGAGTGGTTTTCTTTGTGGCAAACTTTTTGATAATAAATTCAATTATTTTTAATGGTTATAAAGCAATTCAGATTTTTCTATTTCTTGTGTGCGAGTTTTGATTAAGTTGTATTTTTCAAGGAATTTGTCCACTTTATCCAAAGTTATAATTTACTGATATAAACATGTTCATAATATCCCCTTATTATCATTTTTATGTCTGGTGGATCTATACTGATATACCCTATTTCATTCCTGATAATAGTATTTTGTGTTTTTTCTTTCTCTCTTGTCTCTCAATCAGACTTTCTAGAACTTTATAAATTTTGTTTTATTTTCACTTTGTTAATTTTCTCTATTTTCTATTTCACTGATTTCTGTTCTTATTTTTATTTCCTTCCTTTATCTTTGTTACTTTCTTTTTCTTTGGGTTTGATTTGCTCTTCTTTCTGGCTCCTTAATGTAGAAACTTTGATTTTAAACCTTTGCTAGTAAAAGCATTTAAAAGTATAGTCAAACCTTGGATTGCGAGTAACTTGGTTTGCAATTGTTCCGCAAGATGAACAAACATTTCTAATATATTTTAACTTGGTAAATGAGCGATGTTTTGCGATATGACTAGTTTGTTTCCAGAATGAATTATGCTTGCAAACCAAGGTATTACCGTATACATTTCCTTTCTAAATACTTTAGTTACTTATTACACATTTTCATGTGTTATACTTTTATCTTTCATTGTAAAATTTTTCTGATTTCCTTTGGATTTCTTCTTGATTCACTGGTTACTTAGAAGTGTTATTATTTTTGAAATATTTGGTGCTTTTCTTGATAAGTTTTGCTGTTCATTTCTAATTTAATCTATTGTGTTCTGAAAACACTAAGATTTTAATCTTATGAAATTTACCGAAACTTAATTTTATGGCCTAGCATATGATCTAGGACCTACTTTGTGAATATTATATGTACACTTGGAAAGAATATTGCACATTCTGTTTTATAATTGTCAGGCCAAGGTGGTTGATAGTGTTCACATCTGTGTATACCTACTGATTGTCTCATCTAGTTGTTCTATTAATTACTGAAACAGAAGCACTGAAGTCTCCAACTATCAATGTGAATTTGTCTATCTCTTCCTTTAGTTCTGTAAGTTTTTTGCCTCAGGCATTCTGAAACTGTGATTTGAGGCATACACATTTATGAGGATGTGGTTTCCTCATGAAGGAATGAATGATGTTAGCACGCAAGTTCACTCACAGCTCTCTCTCCTGACTGTTCTTCAGAATTGGGGTGTGGAGGCTGTCCTTCTAGTACTGTCTTTGCTCTCATATACTCACTATTGTTTCTTCCCTCTCTTACACACACACACACACACACACACACACACACACACACACACACACACACTCACTCACTCACTCATAGGTTCAAAGAGCGATCAGCAGCTGCACATAGTGCCTGCCAATTTTATAACTGAAAAATGATCAAGCTAACAGAAAAATTGTTTTTGAACTTTGATTATTAAGTCACATATACCAACACTGATTTCCTGATTTACCTTTTATAAAAATTAGAAAGATTAAGGCAACTGTAATTTATTTTCTTGAAAAGTGTTAATATATTATTTTTAACTAACATTCTACAAACTTAAATTACCTGATCCAAACAATTCAGCAAATCACAAAGGCAAGCCCACTGTAAGGCAGGAGTTGGGTAGAAAGAATGAAAACAGGCGGTAAAGGTATTATGACACTCCTGAAGGACAGCTTCCAGGAGACTCAAGGGTTGACTGAGATATCCTTGAGGATCATTATCCAACTTCACCATGCAGTGATCAACTCCTTCTGACAAAATTTTTCTTAACAAAGTTCTAGTTTTTCCAATGCATTCTGCTAATTTGCTAGTTTCTTCTACAACTGCTTTTCCTGTAGCTTTGAGGGAACAAAGGTTAAATAGAATAATAAATATGTATGAAAACAATGAATATAATTCAAGTGATTTCCTATATAGCTAAAAATCACCAAGTACTCATAACTTAGAAAGAAAACAGTTTAGAGATTAAGTGTGGTCTAAAATTATTTCTTTTTAAAATCTAAATAAAAAAGAAACAAAACACTGATTTCAGCATGTAAGTCTCAGCCAGTTGTTCAAAATATTTCTATTTGACAGAATCTATTTAAAATGATACTTTATTACAGCAGTAATTTTAGCCTAACATGAATTTTTTCTTATCAGAGTGACAAGTAATGTATTTTATTCTGGATAAATCAGCAGGCTGACTTTCTCCCCTCGTTTAAGAAGCAGGTTAAAGGCAGCTGGGGATCTTAAACTCTTGGTTATCCCTACATAAACCTTCTCAATTCTCAAATATTTTCTCCCAAAAGTCATTTAAAACATGCATCATACCTGACACTGGGTAAATTTCACAGGTATAAACACGCAGTAACCTCAGACAACAGGTACCCACAAAGCGTAGTCTCTCCAAATCTAGAAGTGTAGCTGTAAACTGGAATCCTTTTAGTCCTCTAAGCTCTTCGACTCCTAAGACTAAGGTGGTCCAGCTCCAGTGAAGAATACTCAACAATGACTCAAAACATTCCTAATCCAGAATATGAAGAAATAGATAAAAATTAGTTCAAGTGATACGACAGGTTGAATCAAATAGAAAGATGACATTCCACTTCAAAACTTTATCTTGAAGTTTTTCACTGAGTTTTGGTAACCCAAATAACAGACATTTCATTAGTTCATTCACAAATTACTGTTAGCAGCATCTGAAGCTTGACAAAAATGGTAAAGTACTTAGGCATCTATAAAAACAGCATTCTTCAATATTTACCTATTTAAAAATACATTTTTAAGTTTCCCTGCTACCAATTCTATCTAGTTTATCATATAAGGAAAGAAAACAAAACATACTTATAAATACATGCTTACTTGAAAGAAAGATTAAACTCTACATTCTCACAGCATTATTGTGTAAACCAAAACTACTTTAAACACTTGAATAATTTTTAATATAATAAAGTATTTTCATATTAGATATCACCAACAATATCAAAGCACTTATTTTATATCTACATATTAAATTTTACAATGCAAACTACAAGAAACTTTTTATAAACAAGTTAATAGAAGATAAATTTTGATGAAAAATATTTTAAAATTATCATTTGGGTTTTTAAAAATTCTAAAATATGGGTTTGGGGAGTGTGCATCCCCTGTAGTTCTAGCTGGTCTGCAGGCTTTACCATGCTTACACAATGACAGATACTAGATGACTCTCAAAGCAAATTACTTAGTCCCTCATCTCCATCAAATTCCAGTCCTTTGGTGCAGCAATACCAAGAATAAGAGTTTATAGCCTAACTTTTCAAAGAAATAATTAAGTTTCTGATATAAAGATTAAAATGACCTAATGACCACAAAATCACTTAGACATAAATATAAAAATATTAAGCATAGAAAAAAGAGATCACTGAAAAAGACACAAAAGAGTCAAAGATACTTATTTGGATCAAAAAACACTAAACTGATATTAATAGGAAAAGGATCCAAGGTACCAAGGAGCCAAAATTCTTATAGTCTCTTATTCAAAGCACACTCTCCGTAAACTGCCATAGCTCTTTTGCAAGGCCAACTTGACATAATACATCAAAATTTAAATGAGCATACTTCAGGTAAAATAATCACATGAATACGTAAGTAATCAAAGACACGTGTATGGATATAATAGTAAAAAATAAGAAACAAACAGTCCTTTGATAAGAATATAGTCGCATAAATTATAGAGGGTCATCAAATAACATTTTATTCAACATCATTTCGTTTTAATGTCAATCAGATGTATAGGAGCTTAATGCTTGTTAATATCAATTAGCCTATGTAAAACTGGTTTCATTATATGTCGTTTCACTTTAAGGCACGGAATCTATCAATATTAAGTGAGGACTTACTTTACAACCATTCTAGGGTATGCAATACAAATATTAGAAAAGATTGAAACAGAGCCAAATGTACTAACGTGGAATATATCAACAGTGCATACTATAAAATTTATGAAAAGGAAGATGCAAAACTTTAAGTATGATCAAACATAAACAGGAAGGTTGGATAGTATGCAGACTGATAAATATGTGGATGTATAAATAGTAGTCTAGAAGGATATACATCAAATTGTAAATAGTAGTTATATATAGTAATAACAGGGTGATGGGAAAAGAACTTTAATATACTTTTAGTATAGTTTTATCCCTACTCTATCCTACTCCCACCAGGGACGTATAATTTTGTGGTTTAAAAAATGAATAAAAAGAAAAAAAAGCATTTCCCTTTGTATTTAACCAACACAAAAGACTACCAGCTATATTAATAAATCACATTCATATAGTGCCTCACAATTTTAAAAGAATTTTTGTATCCCTTATCTCATTAAAATTCATAATGACATTATGACATACTTTTAGATAAGCTGCATAAGAATCCTCAACTAATAAATGAAAAAGCAAGACTTCCTGAGCAGACATACCATGATATTTCAATTATATCATGCTGATTTCTCCATTCTACACAGGTAAACCCAATAGCATCATGTATTGTAAATGCAGAATGGTCATGGTCAGGTAATTCAATAAAGTCCCTTGTCAGATATGCGACTCTTCTATTTAGTTCCTCAAGCATTAAAGTAACACTGTTTGGTCAACACCACCCTTAACTTTTCCTACTCTTTCTAACTCCTTCAGCGTATGTTTTCATACATGATTTATCAGAAAACCCACCAGTTATTTCAGAAGTAGCAAGGCATGTTAACATCAGTTACAATCGCTATTTTCCCATTATTTAAAGTGCAAATCCATTGGCCTGGGATGTCAATACTAATACAAAAACAAATCTGAGTTCACAAGGCTATGATTTGATAAAATCTTAGAATAGTGGCTGAACATTAAACATGAAAATGAAACTGAGCACTGCATAAAAAAGCTGACGTTTTAAAAACTGACTTACCACTGAGACAGTTCTTGCAAAAGATCTCTTTAAAATGTGTACAGGTTCACTAGTTTGCTGTTTGCCTTTTGAAGCACTGCCATCACTGGTTGGAAGTCTGAGGGTAGTAGACACACATAACTTATGTTAGAAAGTCCAAACCAATGACATTGTTCTTTTCAAAATACATATTTTGCAATAGTGAAATAATTAAATTATACATTTAAATATTTTGTTAGGTAAAATGCCAATGTGGAACTTTTTAGAAACATTTTCCAATACTAAGCAAAATTTTTAGGATGTGAGAGAGAATTTCATATTTTTTTTTTTTAAGATTTTTTTTTTTAATTGGGGAATTTTGGGAGAGGAACAGACAAGTTGCTGTCCTTTTGTTCTTCAGTCTAGTTGTGGAGGACGTTGCTTCACTGGCACAACTTGGCACCATCATTGCGCTCTTCCCGGGCGAGGCAGATTAGTCGCCGGCTTCTGGATGGCCGCACACGGTGAATGCTGGCCGCTCACGCTGGCTGCTGGCTACACACCGTAGCCCATGGCGACCCACTGCAGCAGGGGCTGCAGCCTATGCCGTCGCCACAGACTCACGGCAGCCCAGCTCCAGGTTGAGCTGTTGTTCAGCATCTTAGCTGTGGAGGGCAGTGTCACTGGCCCTCATATGTGGGATCCGAACTGGAGTCCTCTGGCGTCCCAAGCCAGCTCTTAACCATCCCGCCACTCGGCAGGCCCAGCATTTCATTTTTTAAATCCTACCTTTGTCTAAGACTGGGTAGTAGAAAATCTCTTCTCTTACTAGATAACATATAGAACTTATGTTCTCTAGCAATGCTACTATTAAATTCTATTTAAAAGTTATTCAACAAGTGTACCCAGCAGTAGTCTAAGCAACTTGTTATGTTCATAACACTACATATTACAAATACTAACTATAATAGAGAGCATAAAAACAAACAAAAATCCCTTCTTGGGAAAAGTGAGGTTTATATTCAGATTCTTAAAGTGATCACAAGAAAGGAAGACATAGGCGACAGAGAATCGGTTCTAGAGGTATTTCCTTTGATTTTTACTACTTAATGTAAGAATAACATTTTTTAATGAGGGTTTATATCTATTTGCATACTTTATTTTTAACATTACCACAGTAATCTCCTAGAAGTAGCTGGACACACACATAAGGCATATGCTTCCATATGTATCTCGATTACCATAAAGTAATAAAAATTCTTAAATAATGGCAAAAATATAATATTGTCACATAAACAAGTTATTATTTGATATTTCAATTAAAGGTGGAAATTTTTCAGCAGTGAGGTATTTTCCAATTCCTTCCATCACAAGGTAAGATGAACAAGAAACACAGGACTACAGCACATCAATCAGGCCTACACCCAAAATCTCGTTCTAACACCCTGATTTCATTTCTCTAAGACAAATTTTATTAGTTTATAAAATTCTGAAATTGGTAAAAAAATCAATAGAGAGGTTAAAAACATAACAAAACTAAAATTTTGTTATTGGTATATACAGATAATCTGAATCATGAGTTAAAGTTTAAAACTAAGCTTGATGTAGAAAATGTTTAAAAATATACAAAACATTAAACGTGTTTGTTAAGTGTAGCCACATTTATACTAGTATATTATAATTTCCTGAATGCTTCAAATAATTTCTTCCTTTTTATATCATATATTTTATAGTGATCCTAGTTCATTATAGCAAAAGAATAAACTTCATTAATTAATTATAAATATGCTAAATACCTGTATAATAATTGAGGTATCTGACCAGCATTCACATCTGTGCCATTGTTTGATTTCTTTGAACTCTTAAATTGGAAAACAACCCTAAGAAGAGGAAAAAAAATAACAATAATACCAAAACCAACATAGTTCAAGATTCATTAAACGAAATAAGTAATTTAAGAATCATATTTACAAATCTTATGTTAATGAACAGAGATTCACTCCTTAAGGAAAAAAATACAAGTAAAAAAGTACTATTCTAATTTTAGTTCTAGCTCTAAATGGCTTAATCAGTAAAATGAAGACACTGAACTTGATGAGGCAGCACTGGGTGAGTAGGTGTCCTGTGCCCTGCTTGGCTCTTCTCGCTCAACTTTAATCAGAGCAATATGCTTTTAACAAAATATTTCAAATTACAGTTTAAAATCTGCTCAACTAGATACACCATAATAAGCTTTAGCTTCAAATTACTATAATATTTCAAGGTTGAATGAACTGTATATGGGAATCATACAGTTCAGCATAGAAGCAGCCTCCACAGTTCCAGCATACAGTCTTGCAGTAAATTGAAAAGGATACATACAACAATAGACTTAATTTTTCTACAGCAGTCTACTTGAATATTCAGTAACATGGAATTCACTTCATAAATTAGTCTGTTCTTTTTTTGGTCAGCTCTGTTATGAGTTGAAAACACTATCTGAAATATACTATTATATAACTTCTACCCATTTCAAATCACTTAGGCTCAAGAATAATAAAAAACAAATTGAATTTCTCTTATAAACGATGGTCCTTTCAAACACATGAATCAGAGTACAGAGTATAAAGAAGGTTAGTCTTAGAGTCATGAGACTCCAGGACTAGACTTGGTTCTCCCAAACGGTATGCCAATCGTATGACTTGAAGCAACTCATTTCATCTTTTGTCTCTTGATTCCCGGGTGTAAAATGGAGCTAATAACTGCTTCACAAAGTTGTTGAGGGCATCAAATGAGATAATATATATGAAAGTGTTTCATAAACTGAAAAGCACTTTATACATGAACTTTAAACAGTAAATTTCCCGACATGTTATTAAAACTATGCCATTTCATATCACAGAAGCGTTGCAATTTATACACTGTTTTCATAAGCACTGTCAAATTTTATAGAAAGCATGTATTTCTTTTTTATGGTTTCCAAATCCGAACTATCCTTGTCACTTTCCTCTATATAATTTCTAATTTAGTAATAAGCTTTTAAAAAATGTTAACACCCAGAAATACATACAAATGCCACCTGACAACAATAAAGAATTGCTGTCCTAGTATCTCCTTGCTCTGTCTAGATTTTAACTTGGCATGAGATTAAATGGATTTAATTATTAGCAATCATATTACGCTCTAGCCTTACTGAGATTTTTATCCTACTAGAAGACCTCTGAGCTTTCTAAACAATATTTCACTAACAAAGATTGTTGAAGTAACACTTAAACAGTTTTCTTACCCATCATCTGTGGTAATAGAAGCTTGTCCATGAGATCCACAGTCACTGCTGGGTCCTGACACTCGAGCCCAAGCTACATACCACCATCCAGCTTGCAGGAGAACTGGTTCATCAAACATCATTGCATATTTTTCCCTGAGAGAAAATTCAGTGGGTCAAAGACAATGACTTTGCACTTCCCTGTTACATACATTTATTTTTAAAATCCTTTATAAACAAAACATGAAATTCATTGTATTGAAAGATTCTTGTCATTAAAAACCCTCTATTTAAAATAGTCTAGACAAGAACACAAATAATAGTTACCTCTGTTATGGTAATGGCATTGCATATCTTTCCCCTCCATCCTGAACTATAAAACTTGTTTAAATGTTATAAAACTCCTTAAAATAAGACCAAAAAATTTTAAATTGTTGTTTAAAAAAACATGCCAGTTTTGTTGGAAAATGAAATTTTGAACTTTAGTTTTAAAGTTCATTTATTTAACTAAAGTTTTTGAGAGACAGCATGTAAAGAAAATGGCTCTAGAGTTTGAGGCCCGGCTTTGTGACTTAGTTGCCTGGCCTTGGGCAAGTTCCTATATCCTCTCCTGTAACTCACTTCCTTCATCTGAAAATCAGGTGAAAATAATGTCTAGCTCATAGGGTTCTTCTGAGGATTGAGTTCATTCAGGTAAAATGTTTGGAACTGAATCTGTCACACAGTAACTACACAAAAAAACTTTACTAAATTAGAAGAGAGAAAAGGGGTATATATAAATAAGGCATCTGATAAAGTAATACAAAAGTTACAAAGTTCTAGGTAACAGAGGGGAAGGAATGTGCATTGATTGTAACAGGGATAGAGAGAAGAATAACAGGTACTTGAGGAAGGGGAAGAATGTCATGAATGGATTTGCAAAGTTATGAAATACAAAGAAGGGTCTGAAAATGATAAGGTGTCCGATTAGGTTAAAGCATTAAACAGATACACAAGTGTACTAGGTAGAAAGTTTAAAGAGCTGCTGAGAAAGATATGGAAGTCTGTTTTGCTAGTCTTGGGATTCTAGCTTTGTTAGCAGGCAAATGAAGAAAATCTAGATGATTCTCTATACATGAAACTATACATTATATTTCTTATTCATAATCATATGCTCAAAAATAAATGCTAAATGACAATGGCATCTTAAAGCTTTGTTAAAAATTAATCAATTAACTTTCGTGAAATTTCTCTACTCTTCATTTGTATATAACATAAAAAGTTACTTAAAAAGTATCTCCTGATATTGGTTAATGCCTAAAGTGAAGAAATATTCAGAATTTTCTTTAGGTTTACTATTTTGTTCTCAAAAGAATTTATCTATTAAAAGCAAACTCAATACCTTACTATTGTTTTCAGAAAAAAAATATTTTCACTAATGAAAAGTTTATGCATATCACACAGGTTTTCTTAACACAGCTCTCACTGGAAAGTACAGTGTACTATTATTATTATTAAGCTCAATTTCTTTTCCTCATCATCATATTTCCTGATTTAAATCACTAACTTGTCATAACACAGTGTTGAGATCATTCTTAGAATTACACAGAGAGAACTGATAAAATCTATCTCTCTTCTTACTTAACGAACCTTCATAAACAAACATCCTGATTCTGGTAACCTCCTAAGTAAGGGGTTTCACTTAAGCTGGTCACTTCCCCAACCTTGTTATCATCAAACATATGCTTAAGGCATGGTATTAAAAGTATCCAGGTGATCTGAATTATGGCCCACTATGACTATGTGACACTAAATGCAACATAATGCTACAGGTAGTAAATGATTGAATCACATCCCTAGAAGACTAGCATATTAGGTGTTTTCTAAATGATGCATGAAAATAAAAGTGTGCAAAATATATGTATACAGTATTTCCCACTTATCTTCATTGTAGAAATAGCTAATTTATCTTGTGAAATACAAATATGAAAGATATTAGTTTTAATGCAGCGTTGTTGAAAGCAACACATTACCTAATATATAATTTAATTTATCAAGTGTCTGATCACAAATTTAAAACTTCTTTTTTAAGTTACATTAATCCATTTATAATGAATTTTCATATTAAGTATGTAGGAATGACACTGAGTAATGAAATCTTTACCTAGCAGCACAGTCATAAGCCAACACATCAGTCTCTGCAAGAAGGTCTCCATCAGTTTCATGATCTCCTCCATCAGGACCCAACTCAAACAGCTGGGGAAAGGAGAAAAACATATTGTGTGCAATTGTTCAGTCATGAAAATCTGCTGAGTAACATGTTTATAGTTTAGTGTGTGTCCACATATGTAAAAAAATAAATAAATAAAAAGAGCACCTGCTTTTTTAATGTTAAGCAAAATATACAAACATTTAAATCAAGAAACATATATGATGTCTTATGATCTATGTTAATCTCAGTTTTCCTTCTTTATATATTCATCTGTTTATATCAAGTGCTCCAAATAGCTCTGTACCAAATGTAAACATCAGAGGGAGGTGACAGAACTCAACCAAAGCATTTATCTAAGTGAGGTAGAATCTTGCTTCACCACTTACTAGTTGTGAGATTCTAGGGCCCAGTTTCCTCATCCATAAAAAGGAGATGGATACTAACAGTGCCTATTTCATAGTAATTGTGAGAATTAAATGAAATACTACTTGTGGAACACTTGAAAAATACCCAGCAAAAAAAAAGCTAGAAAAATGTTAGGTACGGAGACAGAAAGGAATAACAGAAGGTAATGATCCTTTTAAAAAAAAAGTAACAAAAAATAGTTCAAAATAGTATGGCATGGGTTAAGGAGAGATGAAGAGTATGGAAAAAAAGGTTATAATAAAAGGAGAGGACCCCAGAGTCTGGGTAAAGGAAAAAAGAGAAGATATCAAATAGGAAAATGTTATAAAATTAAGTGAAAATAAAGAAAAATTATGAGGAAGAGGTCTTTTTAAAAAATGGACTAATACATATAAAAAGAAACACTTATTTCTGTTAAGAATTATAGCAGACGAACTATAAAAATGGCACATAAAATACTAAGAAGGAAGAGAAGGGGGCATTAACTTCTATTGGACAATTATTGCACTATATGTCCTAATTTTTGAGACATATATGCTAATGATTTGAAATCCATCCTCAGCTTGGATCTTATTCTCCACAGTCACTTGATTCCCCCAGCAGCTCAATCTCACTAGTTCTAAAGTGACTCATCTCTCCCTCCTCCTGCCTGCCCTGTTTTGATTAATTTAACATTAGGCACTATCACTCACCTAGTCATTCAGATGCAAGACTTGGAAAAACCATTTTTTCCGTATCTCTCTGCCATCACTATATCCTACTGCTGGAATCAAAGCTTGTCAATTCACCCATATTCACGGTTACTAGCTGGAATAGTTCAATAACAACTAATCAGTCTTCTTGTTTCCATCCTCTCCTTGCTCTAACCCATATTCCACAAAGTTGAAAGTTTATCACTTTTAATGTTTTAAAATGATATCTTATGAGAATACTTTCTTAATCTAAAGTTATTCAGTAGTATCTCATTTCCCTTTTTACAGCATAATATAAAGGTCCTAAAGATTTGCCCCTAACCTGGCTCCCCTGCATATATTCAACAAATATTTTTGAATACATATTGTGTGCCAGGCACAGTGCTAAGAACTGAGAATGCAGGGGTGAATGATGTAAACAACAACAAAAATTGGGCTATTGGGAGTAAGTTTGTGATAAGGGAGAGGACTTACAGTTTTAAATAGGCTCACCAGCAAGTTAAGACCTGAAAATGATGAGGAAGTGAGCCACACAGGTACCAAAGTGAAGAGCTGTAGTCAAGGCAATAGCAAGTGCAAAGGTCCTGAGGTTTGACTATGCCTGGCATGTCTGCGGAGCAAGTGCAGGCTAGTGTGGCTGAATTCAAGGGAAGCGACCTGTACAACACAAGGTCAGAATGGTGATGGCAGTTCTGACGGGGTTCTTTACAGAAGCTCTTGCAAAGCCTTTGGCTTTTATTCTAATATAGGAAGACATTGTAGGAATCTGAACAGAGAAGTGGCATACTCTGGTGTATATTTTAAAAGAGAATCACTCAACTGTATTGAGAATACATTGATGGGATCAAGTACAGAAGCAGGATATAAGTTGAGAGGCTACTATAATAATCCAGGTGAGAATGGCTGTGGTTTGGACCAACTTGACACCAGGGGCAGTTTTTAGAAGTGGTTAAATCCTGGGTTTGTTTTCAAAGCGCAGCCAACAACCTTTGCTGTTGAAGTGGAGGTGGAGTGTGAAAGAAAAATTCCAGGATGACTCCAAGATTTGGGGCCTGAGCAATTGGAAGAATGGAGTTAACTCCATTCTGAGTCAGTTAACTGGGCTGTGGAAGAACAGGAGAAGAGCAGTTTTACAGAGATCATCAGAAACCTAGTTCTGAGTGTGCTATATCCGAAGTGCTTACTAGCTATCCAAGTGGAGGTGCAGAGTAGGTGATTGTATATATGACTTCGGAGGTCTCTGAGAGTGACCACAGAAAAAATAATTAGTCATAAGGCTGGATCACCATGGGGGTGAGTATACTTTAAAAAGATGTCCAAGACTGGGTTCTGGCACCCCAGCATTTAGGGGTCATGGATGAACAACCAGAAGGAGGTTAAGAAGAGCAGTCAGTGAGACAGTAAGAAAATGAAGTGGTGTCTTAGGAGCCAAATGAAGAAGTATGTCAAGAAAAGGCTCAACTGGATTAAATCCTGTTGAATGGTTAAGAAAGATGAGGACTGAGACCTGACCACTGGTTTTAGCAATAAAGAAGTCGCTTGACAAGATATCCTTGACAAGAGCAGTTTCAGTGGAATGTTGGGGCAAAAACCTGATTAGAGTACATTCAGGAAGGAATGAGAAGAGGGAAAATGGAGACAGAACATATAGAAAGTTAAGACTATGCAGAGAGACCAGCGAGGTGGCTAGTCTAAGACAAGTAGCTTTGCCTAGGGGAATGATGAAAGAGTCCCTTTAGGTGGAAGAAAAAGATAGAGGAGGACCTAGCAAGAAAGACAGTTAGGTTTCTGGCTTCTGTAACAAGTATATGGTGGGTAGTACTATTCAGAGGAGGGATCACTGGGAGACAGCCAGGTCCTGGGATAAGAGCATGAACTCAGTTGTGATATAAAGACTGACAACTGGCATGCCTTTAAAACATTTACACAGAAACGGGTCAAAGAAAAAGTCTGAGCTGGAGATATAAATTTAGGCATAATGGAACGCTGAAACTTCAGACTTAGAAGAGGATACCTAGGAGAAAATACAGAGTGAAGAAAGAGGCCTAGAGCTCAGCCTAGAAGAACTCCAACACTGAGTGGCCAGAGCGGAAGCAAACAAACCTACAAAGGAAAGAAACAACCAGAGATATGAAAACAAAACAAAACAAAACAAAAAATAAAGAAGAGGTCTTTATACAACAAAATGTATACCTCAGAGGTGAAGAAAGGAAAAAAAAGACACCCATTGAGTCACCGAATACAATGATATGATCACTTCAAGGGATGAGAAGAGTAAAGCAGGATTTGAGACTTAAAAGAGAAAAATAGTGCAATATAAAAACAACATGTATGGAAGGCCTTTATAATTCTCTATCACAACTACTAGAGATAGGCCCACTATGGTGTTCAATATTATAGGAAAAAACCTCTCAGGGCCAAGAACAAAATCACCTTCCTGATGAGCTTAGATATTGCCAACTAGGACTGCACAAATCACTGAGTTTGCTTCTCTACCTTGACTTTAAATCAAAACATCCTAAAATAACCATTTAAAGCAGGTGCTATGAAGTGAGCAAAAACTAAAATTACTATTTTTCTTATTATCAACATATATATATTATAGATGTCCTTTATTATTCCATCCCTACTCGCTATATAACTCCAGGGACTTTAAATTTTTACTTTCTTCATTTCTATATTCTCTGAACTTTTGTAGCACATGTATTCTAATTGTAACCAGAAATAAGCAAATATTTTCTATATTTGTCAGTCTGGTTGAGGCTTTATGAGTAGTATCCTCAGAAACCATCATTGTAAGGGAGTTTTAACACATCAGTGTAACTTTTAGATATTATTGAGAGAATTAAGAAAATACCTCCTGAACAGATAGCATTTAAGGGTTTTTTATGAAGACTGCTATTGAAATTAAGGCACAAACTATAGTTTTCCCTTTTACTTTAAGAGCGAAATCAGATAATTTGAGGAGAATATTCAAACTATTTTATTTTCAATGAATACAAATAACCTTTACTGAGAATAATTGTTGACCCTTGCTGAGATGAATCAGTCTGGTTAACTTACAACTTTTGATTATTTTTAGTTTGTCTACCAAATGGAATCCACTACCAAATGGAATCCATCCCCTATACTCTATCTCTCACTTCATCCCTGGTCTCCACTCCTGGGGTGCTCTTGTCTGTTTGAATAGCATTTGGCATTTCAATTGTTAAAGTCTTTGAAAGCTACATTAAAATGTCCCTCCATCAAAACAGTGTGCCTCCTGTCATTTTTAGGCTACAAGAAACTAGACACATAAAACAATAGTGCTGTTCTTAGACCACTAGGAGTTCAGCACAAAGGACTGAAATCGACTGAAAGGTCTTTTTCAGTCGAAAATTATTGAAATATCATTTTCTATTCATTTGCTCCCTTCTTACTTACCTTTTGATTTTTCAATGAGTTAATGACAGTATTATTGTATGTACTAGATTTTAGCTATGTTTCCTTGTCCTTTTTAAGAGCAAGCATTATATAAAATAATAAACTAAGTCAAAACCAACATTTTCAAACAAAAAGGGTGTGTCATAGAACTGCTTACCTTAATTTTAGCAGTATATTCTCCTCTACCTCCAAACAGACCAAGACCACCAAGTAAAATATCAGTGTCAGCACTAAAGCGTATCGCTTCTACTGAATGAGCAGAGTAACCCCAGCCCCCTCCATGACCTTAAAAAAAAAAAGATAATTTATGTTTTAAAATATTCACATACATTTCAGTTAGAAGACAATATTTCATAAACGTAAGCATACATACTTTCAAACCTGTTCACTACACTGTAATCTTCTTTGGAATAAACCTTCATTACAGCTTGAGTCTCCTCCTCTGTACTTGCAACACCCATTTTTAAATCCTGCATAGTTGCCAAGGTATCAAGACAACCTAAAAACAAACAAACAAGAATTCAACTCCTTGAAATTAAAAGTTCCCAGAATACTGATGATATGAGATGCTGTAGGGATAAATTAAACTAGCAGTATGCTCAACAAATGTACTCTGAGCTTTAAACAACGTTTCATGGACAAATACAACCAATAAACACTCTCCTCCATCTGGGTATTTACCATATTTAAACACACTATAGGACAATAGTTTTCACAAAACCATATCTCTGAAGAGTTGGAATCACTTAATCTTTGAGTCCCTACAAGGTTCTTCCTTTTATGAAATTCTCTGAATAGTTTAGTTTGATTCTTAATGTAGTATTTGAGGAAGACACAATAGCCTAAGGTAACCTTAATCGATGCTAGTTTACAATGGTTACCAGATGAAATTTGTGAAAAAAGAAGTAATTATAGTTATGACCTAGTAATTATGCTTAGGAATATGATTTCATAATCAGAAAATTTACATAAACATAATTGAATCTTTTTAAGGATAATTTTTAAAAGCAATAAGTAGTTATGTGAATTAGTATAAAATATCCAGCAACAGAATAATATACTGAAAAAATGCATATCTCAAATTAATTACACAGAAGCGAAGTTGATATCATGTGGAAAACTTTCTCACGTAAAAAGAGAGACTTAGCATGTATAAAATTCACATAATATTTTATAGAACTTATTTTAAAATGACGTACATAAATTAAGTGTTATAATTATACATTTGAACATTCAATCTACATCTTTAAAGTTTATATAGTCACGTTAAGCAAAAACGTGATTTTTTTTAAAGATCTACATATTAGGAAAATTATATTCAGAGTTAATTTATATTTGGGCATATATGACTCTTTCACAGTGTTGGTTTAAGTCTGATTTATTATTTTCTGTAGGATAAATCTCTTAAAGGATTTAACTTATTTTTCACCTAGCATATCATTGTTTAACAAACATGAAAGAATAATATATGGATGTAAACACTCTTAAAAGAATACTCAGCACACATTAATGAAAATTAATTAAATTACGTATCATCAAATAGCAACACTACCTAGAATGTGCAAAGCTGCATGCGATCGGGTGGTGAGAGCCCTTGATCCTGTTGGTAAGGCAAGTTCAGGACTTAGAATACTGCATCTGGACTGCATGTCTGCTGCAGAAGGAAGTCTGGCATCAGCAACCACTGCATTGTAACACCACAGCTCTCTAGTGTTGGGTCGAAACCTTTCAAGGAAGAGAGAGTAATTACAGCACCTGAACACACAGTTTCATTATAAAGAATTTCTAAAGTATAATTGATGATACAAAGAGAATACAGCCAGCTTACACAGGACAAAACGTAGCTCTTTATTTTCCATATCTGAACTAAACATATAAATAATTTATGTCACAAGTAAAACAATTTAAACAAAATAGTAATATAGACCATAATACTTCATGGATAATAGAGCAATAGTACATTTAACAATCTGATGTGTACATAGAGATATGACGATTGTGTACAACAAAATCTCCATTTATAAAGTTTAAAGACAAAGGGCAGGTCAAAAGAAAATATGTGAAACATACATATGAAGCAAAACAACAATATCTGCAACATATAAGAGCTCTTATAAGCCAGTGAGAGAAAATCAATCCAATACTAAAAGTGGGCAAAAGACACGGAATGCTGATCTTAGCAAGGAAGCACAAATAGAATGTATGCAGACGTTCAGCCTGACTAATAAACAGTAAAGCTTCAATGAAACTATAAGGAACCCACAATGCGCTCCTGCCATAATCTCATTCCTTTCATCTCTTTCATAACAAGATTCTCGAAAAGCTGTCTCCACTTCTTTACCTCTTTTATTCTTTGAATTCTTTTTAGAAAAGCTTGTGTTTAGAAATATTGTGTTTAACAATATTAAGTACACACAAAAGAATAGTTAAAATATTTTCAAAATAAGTGTGGAGAATAAAGACACAATATGCACTAGTAAAAGGAAAATTACCATTATCTTTTAAGTATCCTGTGTCTCCCTCCCTACTCAATTCTTTTCCTTTTCCTTCCAAAAGTCACAATTACCTTGAATTTCAAAAGTTATTACTCTCCTGCTTTATGATTTTTCATATTTGTACCAAAATAGTATATTATAAGTTTCATCTTTTTAATTGTATATAAATAGGATACACTCTTTATGTATTCTTCCATGGCTTGCTTTCTTCAAACAACAGAATGTTTTTAAAATGCATTTATATTGTGGCATATGGCTGGAAGTTCATTCATTCTCATTAGCACAGTATTAGCTCATGTGAATTTATCACAACTATTGTCTGTTCTTTTATTGATAGCAAAAAAATGAAAACCACTCAATTTTCCATGATAAAAAATGCTGCTGTGGATGATTTTACACAAAGTTCCTAAAACATAGGTACAAGAGTATATGCGAAGGAAGAGAAAGTCCTCATTTTCACAATCACTATGTCTATAAAAAACATTGGTCCAATTGAAAATTTGATTCATGTAAGATGTAGCTGGCATCTCAGATTACTTTAGAAAGGATGATCTCAATCAATGGAGTTTGATAATCCACATTCACTAAATATAAAAGCACTTAAATCTAGCAATCCCATTTCTGGGTTTATACCCAAAAGAACTAAAAGCAGAATCTCAAAGACGTATTTGCCCACCCACGTTCATAGCAGCATTACACACAATAGCCAAGAGGTGGAAACCCAAGCATCCATAGATGGATGATGCATGGATGAACAAAACGTGGTACAAACATACAATGGAATATTATTCAGCCTTAAAAAGGAAATCCTGCCATAGGCTACAATGGGGATGAACCTTGAGGATATTATATTGGGCTGTCGGAAAAGTCATGATGTGTTTTCTGTTTTTAGATGCAAAAATGTGTCATGACTTTTCCGACAACCCAATACTAAGTGGAACAGCTAGTCACAAAGACAAATACTGTATTATTACACTTGCATGCGTTATCTATCTACAGTAGTCAAATTAATAAAAACAGAAAGTAGAATGGTGGTTGCCAGGGGCTGGAAGCAGGGAGAAAAGGGAAATTGTTCTTTGGGTATAGAGTTTCAGTTTTGTAAGATGAAAATGTTCTCGAGACACATTGTACAACAATGTGAATGTATTTTACACTATTAAATCCTACACTTAAAAATGGTTAAATGGTAACTTTCATGCTATGTTTTTACTGCAATTAAAATTTTTAAAATTATTTTTAAGCAACATTAATACTGGACAGAATGAATTCTATTAAAGTAGCTGCTATAATTAGCACTAATACTATTGTATTATTTCTTTTGAGAAGTTCTATTCATCTGTTATTCTTTTGTAGGTGATCATTGTTTTCTCTCTAGTTGTATTTAAGATTTTTCTCTTGGTCTTTAGTGTTCTATAATTTCACTATGGTCTCTCTTGATTACAGATAATGAAAACCTGTAATTTCTAGTATCTGTGGCTTCAAATCTCTTTTTGGGTCTGGGAAATCCTTAAGCATTATCTCTTCAAATATTGCTTCTCCTCTTTTTTCTCTAATCTCCAATATTTCCTTCTTGGATGTCATCTAGATCTTCACATTATTCTTCAAACATCTTAACTTCCATATTTTTTATATTGTTGTCTTTCTGTGCATTCTGGGTAATTTCCTTACATGTATTTTTCACTTGTTCAAATCTCCTGATTTACACATGCATTAATTTAAAACATATCCTTCATTTATAAGAGTTCTCCTTGGTTGTTTTTAAAGCATGCCTCATCATCATTTTGAGTCTCATTTTCAGTCTTGCTTGCTTAATTTGGAGAGTCCATTTTTTATTTTTTAAACATTTCAAACATTAATTTAAATTAAAAGTTGATTTATATTGTTTCTGACAGTTACATGATCTGAAATTGATCTTGTTGATTGTTCTTTTGTTGAATTTCACTAACAGTGATATTCCTTACGTTTAGCAATCTTAGACTTTGAGCTTTTCTTTCATTTAATCTTAACTGGTTAAAAATCTGTGGGCCTAAATGACAGAATTTTCTCCAAAGCTTATTTACACGTGCCTTCTGCTGGCGATAAAGGGGTATTACCTATCTGATCCCATTCTAGCCTCATTCTGAGGGTAGAAGCTTAATCTGAGAGTCGCAAGATCAGTTTCCATCGCCCTTACCTTGCAGCTGGCACAGGGCTAGTTTTCCAAATTGCTGTGCTAAACTCAGCATTTACCCTCAGCAAAATCCTGTGCTTATAGGGCTGACTACTAAGTGCTCAAGGGTCACCTCATGGAGGTCATGATTTTATTTTTACATTGGTTTTCTTTGAGGTGGGGTGGGGGGTGGGGAGGAACGGGCAGAATTATATCAGTGATATCTTGGTTGAGTACCAAGCAATGTATCAAGTATAAACTTAAAAACAACATAAACAACATAGGTCCTTCAAAGTGTTCAGTTTACCTTGCCGGAGGTGGAAATCCCCAATTCACTCTTCAAACCACCCCAATCTGGTTTGTACATCTAACACTTTAATGACACTGTTCTTCTCAAAGTTGCAAATGATTTCTAATTATCCAAACACAGTGGAATTTTTTGTCACCTATTCAGTCAGCCCTCATCAGTGTTCAACACCGCTGACCGTGCCTTCTCTCCTCTCCTCACCTCTGTGTCAGCACACCCTCCGGCTTTTTCTCATAGTTCACTGTCTGCTCCTGCTTGTCTCCTAACTAGCTCTTCCTCTCCCATCTAACCGCTAAATTGTGGAAGGTCTGGGCTTGGTCCAGGACTCTTCTCAACCTAAATTCTCTGCCTAGTGATCTCATTCAACACCATAAACTAAAAATTCTCAAATTTATATCCCTGTTGTCGCAAATGGCACTATTTCATCTTTTTTTTATGGCGAGTAGTATTGCATTGTGTATATATCAATATACCACATCTTTATCCAGTCATCTATCGAAGGACACTTTGTTTCCATATCTTGGCCACCATAAATAAAGCTGCAATGAACATCGGAGCACATGCAAGTATGTCTCAAAGATGGGCCCAGGATAAATGTTTTCAGATTTTTTGGTAGTATATACCTAGGAGAGGGATAACTAGGTCATATGATAATCCTATTCTTAGTTTTTTGAGGAACCTCCACACTGCCTTCCATGGTGGCTGCACCAATCTGCATTCCCACCAACAGTGTATGAGGGTTCCTTTTTCTCCACAGTCTCTCCAACACTTGCTATTATTTGTCTTGTTGATGACAGCCATTCTAACGGGTGTGAGGTGATATCTCATTGTGGTTTTTATTTGCATTTCTCTGATGATCAGTGACGTTGAACATCTTTTCATGTGTCTATTGTCCATCTGCATGTCCTCTTTGGAGAAATGCCTATTCAGATCCTCTGCCCATTTTTTAATTAGATGGATTGTTCGTTTGTTGTTGAGTTGTATGAGTTCCTTAAGTATTTTGGACATTAGCCGCTTATCGGAGGCATTGTTTGCAAATATCTTCTCCCATTCGGTTGAATGCCTCTTTATTTTGTCAATGGTTTCTTTTGCTGTGCAGAAGCTCTTTAGTTTGATATAGTCCCATTCATTTATGTTACCTTTTACTTCCCTTGCCTTTGAGGTCAAATTCATAATATCCTCTTTAAGCCCAAGGTTCATAAGTTTCGTACCTATGTTTTCTTCTATGCAGTTTATTGTTTCAGGTCTTATATGTTTAGGTCTTTGATCCATTTTGAGTTAATTTTGGTACATGGTGACAGACAGCAGTCTAGTTTCACTCTTTTGCACATGGCTTTCCAATTCTCACAGGACCATTTATTGAAGAGGCTTTCTTTTCTCCATTGAATGTTTTTGGCTCTTCTGTCAAAAATTATCTGTCCATATTTATACGGGTTTATTTCTGGGTTTTCAATTCTATTTCACTGGTCTGTGTGTCTGTTTTTCTGCCAATACCCTACTGTTTCAATTATTGTTGCCCTGTAGTACAAGCTCAAGACAGGGAGTGTGATACCTCCAGCATTATTCTTTTTTCTTAAAATTGCTCTGGCTACTTGGGCTCATTTGTGGTTCCATACAAATCCTATAGTTTTTCTGTTCTATTTCTTTAAAAATGTCATTGGGATTTTGATGGGGATTGCATTAAATCTGTATTTTGCTTTGGGTAATATTGCCATTTTAACTATGATGATTCTTCCAATCCATGAACATGGAGTGTCTTTCCATCTCTTTGTGTCTTCTTCAATTTCTTTTAGAAATGTCTTATATTTCAGTGTATAGGTCTTTCACATCCTTGGTTAAGTTTATTCCTCGGTATTTTATTCTTTTTGCTGCAATTACAAAGGGGATTGTTTTTTCTTTTTCTGACATTTCATTGTTAGTATATAGGAATGCAATGGATTATTGTACATTGATCCTGTAGCTGGCAACTTTACTGGATCTTGAGATGATTATGCTAAGTGAAATAAGTCAGACAGAACAAGTCAAGAGTCATATGGCTTCACTGATATGTGAGATGTAAAACTGAAAGCAACAAAGGAACAAGACAAACAAATAAAGAAACAGAAACTATAGACACAGACAAGAGTTCAGTGGATACCAGAAAGTAAGGAAAGAGGGGGGTGGTAGATAAGGGTAAATGGGGTCAAATATATTGTGATGGAAGGAGAACTGACTCTGGGTGCTGAACACACAATGTGATATATAGATGATACATTACAGATGTACACTGGAAACCTATGTAATTTTATTAACCATTGTCACCCCAATAAATTTTAAATAAAAAAAGAATTTATATCCCCAGTTCAGACTAGTCCTTTGAGCCTGACTCTATTATCTAATTGCCCACTTAATTTGTTCACTTAGATCCGAAAGTAAAAATGTCAAAAACAGATGTCTTGACAGATGTATTCTTCTCTCTGCCTTACCTGGCTCAGTTAATGCCACTGATGTCTACTCAAATACTGAAGTCAGAAACTTGGCAATCATCCTTCACTACTTCCTTTCCTTAACCTTCCAAATACAAGCAAGTCCTGTTGGTTCTATTCCAAAATATATGCTGCTGACTGCTTCTCTCCCTCTTCCCCAATCCTGGTTTCAAGCCATTACCTCCCCCCCTGCACTGCTGTACTGACCTCCTGTATCTACTCTTGCCTCCTTCCAATCCATGTTCCACACAATAAGGACTGTCGTTTAATGTCATTTCCCAGCTTGAATCCTACAAAGGCTTCTTATATTTGAAGCCTTCAAATTCCTTAATCTACCTCCAAAGTCTGTCTATCCTGGTCCTTCCTACCCCTCTGATGTTACTGCAAGCCACTCACTGTGCTTTGGCCATACTGGCTGTCTTCAAATTCCTAAAACACTGTCAAGCTCTTGCTTACATCAGGGCATTTGGGTCTACTAAGCTCTTCCTGCTTGGAAAACTTTTCTTGACTCTTCAAATGCCTGGTTCTTTCTTATACTTTAAGCTCTTAACTTATATTGTCTCCATTGTATGGAAAATAGACCACAGCTATTATTCTCAATCACAGCACCCTCCTTTTCCTTAATGGTGCTGAGCATGGTCTAAACAGTATATAATTCACTTTCATATAATCTATATCTCCGCTAAAAAAAATCAACTTCCATAACAAGGGCATTGTCAATCTTATTCACTTTGAATCATCCTTTACTTACCATATCGTATATATTTAGATATTTCTTGAATAATAAAATTAAAACTGCGAAAATTAAAAATAACAATAGTAGTGTTTACTGATGCTAATAGTATGGGGAAATATGAATTCTTATATGCAGTTGGTGAGAGAGTATTGATGGGCAATTTGGCAGTATATATCAAATTTTATGAGTATCTTTTGACTCAGGAGTTGCATTTCTAGAAAGCTATCTTACAGAAATAAGCTCACATGGATACAAAACTGTGTGTATATATGTCTGTGTGTAGCATCGAAGGTACTACCAAAACATTACAAAATCTAAACTGTTCATCAATAGGGAAACAGTTAAGCATATTTTGGTATATTCAGGCTACAGAATTCTATACAGGTTTTGAAGTACTGACCTGGAAAGATTTATAAATTATTGTTTAGTAAAAAATCTCACTTTTAAAATAAATATATTCTTATTTATATAAAAAAAAACTAAAACACAAGCTTTTTAAAAGGTATGAAACAATATAAACCAAACTGGAACCTTGGGACCCACTGGCTACCTTGCAACCCCACTTGGTGTGGAGAAGAACAAGATTTGAACAAGGACCACACATTTTTTCCTGTATTTATACTTTGCTTTTTAAAAAGTAACAACACATATTCATGTGTTATTTGTGTAAATTTTGAAGTGGGAAATAAAATTACTATTCTTAACATTGATCTGCTCTTTCTAGATGCTAAGTTTCTAATTATTCAGGAGAAGGTAGCTGTTAGGAGAATACAAAAGGAGAAAGCAGGTTCACGCTGGAAGGAAAGTCAAAGTAAGGTAATATTGAATCCGCAATGTCTACGATAGCTGTAAAATACAAGTACCCTACTGAAAAACACAAAGGATACAAAGCAGCCAGAAGTCGGGATAATGAAATGAAACTCTGATGCTGATTAAAGAAAAACACCTTTCAGCTGTTTCACTGAAACACAAGAGAAGACTGTCCATCTTTTAATCTGTTTTGGAACAAGGGGGTACATGATCAAGACCTGGCAAGACATTCGAGATCATCTATCCCATTGTTACCACCATATGTGAAAAAGGCCAGGTTCACCTAACTGGATACCGCACTTCGGAATTCTGTTAAGACCCCAGGGAAATGGTTCCAATTATATTGTTAGAATCTTAGTTCTACTGTTGTCTCTCATTTAGAGAATGCATTTCTAATTTAGCAAATGCACCCAGAAACAAACTCCATACTGCCTATTTTTATTTTGTTAATGCAAATTTACTTCATTTAAAAGTAAAACACGTAAGAATTATAGAAAATAAAACATCAATTTAATCATAGGTCTAAACCAGAGCTTACCCTTTGGTAACTAAGTCTCTTCTATATTGACTTCTAATCAGTAAATTATTGAGGACAATTCTATCTTTACACCATTCACCTCTCAATCCCCTCCATAATATCCCACTGTGACCACTCTAATTTTGGTTCTTACTGCCTTATGTCTTCATTAGAACTGCTACAAGACAATTCACCTGTAGTCTCTGGTTGTCGAATCTATACATATAATGCTGATAGGAAGATTTGAAAGCACTGCTTAACTCAATTATGGCCTCCAGGGCTTCTAACAAAATGCCTAAATGAGACAGTAAGCAGGACAACAGCTTGGGAAGCACTAGAATTCCTTCACTCTGAGTGCAAGCCTCAGGATTGATAGAAAACAGGCCTCTTAAGACTTGGCTGGCTGATGGGAGTGAAAGCAAGCATGGGCAGAAGACAGAAAAGTCTTTTCCCTCTCCTTACCTACACCACACTTCAACCTTTCAACTTATCTGAATTCCTGACTACTAAGACAGGCCAAATAAACAATGCAAGAGGGGAAAAACTAAGTCCTATGATGAGTCCCCCTGGTAATGGTGAGGTATACCTATTATTATTGAAAGCTAGAAATGCTGAGAATAACTCTTTTCTTTACTCATTTTGTATATAAAGCATCATAAGAAATTTTAAACAAATACAATATAATTTTTTAAGTTTCTCATGTACCTGTATCCATCTCTACATTTTTATAATTTATAGAGTTTAATAAACCTGCACATTTATCTACAAATATGGGAATTTTGTTACGTATATTCCTGAAGGGCAAGCTCATTTACCTTATTTACTCTGTATTTTATTGTCTTTCATATACTTTCTTCTACATAGCTGGTAATAATTAGATATTTAAGGAAACAAGAAATAGAATGAATTCTTTATAATACAGATAGGATTGCTGACAGGCTAAAAATAATTAGCAATACAACTCCTGAAAGTGAAACTGCTAAATATTGTATAATGGCAGCAGTAAACACTTCTAATAGCACCTAGTGTGTGCCTATGCTCTAAGCTCTCCAATCCTCGTCAAGATCTATGCAGTAGGTACTATTATTATTTTATAAATGAGAAAAGTGAGGCACACAGACTCAATGTAACTTCTCCAAGGGCAGCAGAAAGCAAACTGTGGAGGTGGGATGAACCTAGGCAGTCTGGTGCACAACGCACACTCTTAACCACTACACTGTACTGTACGAGGCCCTGTGAATCACTACAATAGAAGTGCAGTTAACAGTTAAACAGAAGAGTTCTCATTTGTGAAAAGTCTGCCCACATATAAGTTTTGTAAGTACTACAAGACCATAATTTGATCAAAATTTATTTTCTTATTTTATAAACAGAGAAGCTTACCTCCAAATGACATCATACACAGGATCAAGACATACACCAAATCCTTGCAGATCCTCTTGTTCAGAGTCATTAAAAGTTTTACAACTCCCATCCACTTTATTTATCAAAAGACATTTAAATGGAGGAGGTTCTGATATAGAAGCAGGTACTAAGCCTTGAGAAAAAATATTTACATATTTTAATAATACATTACCTTTTCATATTCCCCTAACTTATAAGGTAAATACTACTTATAAGGTACGTATTATTATTATCTCCATTTTACAGATGAAGAAACTGAGACTTAAAGAGTTTAAGTAATTAAAAATGTTTAAGTAGCAGAATTAGGATTAAAACCTCAGGCTGTCTAAATCCAACAACACAAGCTATTAATTTCTACGCTATACCACTCTATTACATAATTAAGGATATCATGGAAACAAGTATGGGTTGATATTATGGTATTATCAAAACTTAAAAAAAGTTTGGTCCATGTAACCTTCCCAAAAATTAATTTCTATCATTTATTGACAAGAACCAATACAGAAAAATTCCTCCTTTCAAATAAAGTTTTATCATACAACAATTAAGCTCATATTTCCACCATTCTCTAACTTATAAATAAATACTTTGGTTTCTATAAATACTTTGGTTCCCAATTATTCCATTCTTCCAGCACAAAGAATATAAAGACAGATAGTTAGAAGCTTTGAAATTTCTTCAAACAGAAAGAAAAAAAAGCTACAAGATTATATCTCATAATAATAGGGAAAGATGAACCATTTGCTATCAATCAAGATAAGGGTTTTTGGTAGGGACATCTGTTTGTTTTGGGAATTACCTATTATGTGTTTACTGGCAAAAATTTCTGATGTGGCAAGTACATGCGAATTAATAAGTGCTTCATCGATTCGTAAGAAAGTCTGGTCCCCACTGGCACCTATCCAGGTAGCTTTTCTTCCATATTTTGATCCAATGTTAGGCATGGGAGCTGGTTTTGCATTCCAATACGGAACATCCAGAATCGGTCTGCCCAGCTGTCCTTTCTAAAAGATTAAATAAACCATATTAGCAATATTGCTCGATAAACAATCTGTAATGTTTTATAAAGTTACAGAGACAGCAGACAAAAATAGCTCTATTAGACATTATTCTTCATCAGTTGTTAGTATTTTAATAAATTCATGTGAAATTTGTACCAAACATTGTAAAGAAATAAAATTACTTTTATTATTTCTAGGAATTCTTCCCCTAATAAACCACGAAGTAGATTATTAAAAAACATAATAACAAAGTTGAAATATTTTCCCATTTAAGAAATATTCCAGAAATACTGTGAATGCCTTCATCTACATTTAAATGAAAAGTATAATACACAATATGTTTAAAAAAATTAGCATTACAATTGTTCATTTGAAAAGTCCCTTCGGCATTTCAAGTTGACAGTAGAATAGAAAGTTACTACTGAATTCACACAGTCTGAAAGTATTTGGGTAAAAAGCCAAAGCAATAAATAATGCAACTGTGAACACAATTAGAAAAGTATGTATTTTTCACATGATCATGTGTTAGTAAGTTATTTCATTTATGTTGCAAGATAAACAGCAGCATCAATGGTAAGGTATGATGTCTTAAGCAGATAACTATTAACTCACTTAAAAAGTATGGATGTTTACAGATACTTACTTAGGTAAGACTTTAATTTGAAAATTAACAGCAAGTTTCTCACTATTAGGCTAGTGTCTGTAAAAGAATGCTGATGATGGATTGGTAAATATTCATCCACCCCTGGGATCAGGGGCTTTCACTCTCCCCAAATTATTTCCCTTCAAAAAACCCTCTGGAAGACAGAAAATCCTCCATCATGGCACCCAGGGTTATCTACAAGTAATGGGAATGAGAAACCATAGGAAAAAACCCAAAGAACAAGAGAGCCTGGAGCACTACCAATAGCCTGATTAAGTTCTCACCGAACTACCAGGTTTCTAGTAAGTTCTATCTATTACTTCATCAACACCATGGCAAGAAAACAGTCACAAACGGACTAGAAAAGCAACTGAACATCAATCCCAGGGATGAGCCAGGGTAAGGAAAAGTGGAAAGCATACGATTAGAGAAGAAGCCAAAAAAATTCAACATTCATTCTCAGCTTCTTTTTATGTCTATTCTTATTTTTGACACAGAAAAACAGTGACCAAGTACATCATATTCAGGAATATATTAGATATGTTATGCTCTTGGATAGAAAAGAAATTATCTTTTTCATTGACTACTGAAATAAATATGTATTCCTTTACTATCAACCAACTAATGCGAAGAAAAGCAATCTAAAAAAATGATAGATGCTTGGACAGCCTCATAGGAATTCAGAATGTAGTTATAAATAAACCATATTTAAATTCATTAAATTTCACAACTAGGACTTCTGGGGCTAGAGGACAATAATGATCGTCTGATTTTAAATAGTACCACTCACATTAGTCCCCCCTAAACCAACACACAGAGCAAATAATATCACACATTAATCAAACCTTCAGCTGTTTTAAGAAACAGCAGATCGCTTGTTATCTGTAACCAGAGAAAAAAACAAATTGCAACAGACTTTTCTCCATTCACCCACCACGGTAAACCTGAGGTGGTGGAGTGGACAAAAGGGAAGGCTTAAGAAGGGAATGAGAGAAGTATAGAACTTAGAAAAGGCAGTGGCAAAACCATCCCACGAAACAGAAAATCCAGCCCTTAATGTCAAAATACTAAATACCCGTAAAGATTTGCAGGGTCACAGCACCACCTAAAGGAATAAGGCTTCAAAGCGTGCAAGGTCATTTTTCACCCAACTGATGGATGCAAATTAAAAGGTATGACAATACAATCCGTTGATAATACTGTGAAGAAATAGTCACTCACATACAGTGCTGGTGAGAATGCAAAATAGACGGGAACTGATCATCACAAAGCTACATAGGTATTACATTTTGACCCAGCAATCTTACCTATAGAAATTTACCTCAAAGGTACCTCTAACGATAGTCATTACCATCACTGCAAAATATTGGAAAGTACTTAAATGTTCAAGCATAAGAAATTAACTGAATAAACTACAGCATATATACATAATGGAGGACTAGATAGAGGTAAAAAGAGAATAAGAGCAATCTTGAGACTTCCAGTCAAGATAGTAGAGTAGATAAACTTTGAGCTAGCTTCCTCCCATGGCCACATCAAAACTGCAACTTAATTATAGAACAACCATCACTGAAAACCACCTGAAGACTAGCTGATTAGAATTCCTATACCTAAGGGTATAAAGAAGAAACCAAATTGAGGTTGGTAGGAGGGGCAGAGATGCTGAATGGACTGGTCCCACACCTGCTGTGTGGCAATTAAGAAAACAGGAGCGATATCTCAGCTGCAGTGATTGCCCCTTGAGGACTAAGGGGTCCCAGCCCCACATAGACTTCCCAGCCTAGGGTACCATTGCAGGAAAGAGGAATCCCCGTAACATCTGGCTGTCAAAACCAGCAGGCACTGCCTCTGAGAAACACAGAGACCAAGATGCTGCTCCTAAAGGGCTGGTGCATGAACTCACTTGTTCACAAACGCATTCACTCTAAGCACCATCACAGGGGCAGCAGCTGAAAAAGTGCCAGGGACATACTAGGAAGAATTAAACGGACTAACTTCAGGACGAGAGCTGGAGGGTCACTGATTAAGGCAACTCTCTCCAGGGAGAAAAGTGCTGGCAGGTACCAGTGTTCCTTTGTTGAGCAATCCTCTCACCCAGCTGGTAGGGCACAGGAGAGTACCAAATCTGTGGTCTTCATTTACCTGGCTAACACTGTTTACCCTGCCCTGGTGATTCCCTGACAACCCGTCCCACCCCTCACTGGGCCCAGACTCTTCCACTTCTTCACACAAGTGGCCTGCCTCATCTCAAGCTGCACGATTTCCCCAAAATCTACAAACCTTGCATGACTGGTGGTTGTCCTAGGCTTGTGCTGCAGACTTTCTCAAAGGTCCACAAATCCCATAAAAGCAGTGGCCAACCTTGGTGTGCACTGTAGCTCCTGCCAAGTGGCCCCAAGCCCAGCACAAATAGCTACTGGTCTCAATTCCCACTGTAACTCCCATCAGGTGGCCCCATGCCTGGCACAAGCAGCAGCCAGTCTTGGCCTGTAATGGAGCTCCAACTAAGTAGCCACAAATCCAGCATAAATGGCAACTAGCCTCAGCTTGCATTGTAGTGCCAACCAAGGGGTCCCAAGCCTGGCATGAATGGTAGCTGGCCTCTCCCAAACAACTCCAATTCCAGCACAAGTGGCAAATGACAGCAAATCCCTTAGTAGCTCCTACCAAGCAGACCCAAGCCTGGCAAAAAGCAGCAACAGACCTTGGCCTATACCAGGTCCCCTTCCAAGAGGCTTTAGACCCAACATACCCAGTGGCTGACATCAGACCACACCAGAGCCTGACCCAAGGGCACCCTCAACTGGCACCAGAGCCCTGCTAAAGTGACTCCCACTCCATGGGATCAGACCCTGCACAACACCTCATCTGCTGTAGTTGTAGCCTGCCCTCAGTCAGTAGCATGATGGTCAACTCTACCACACACTGATGTGCTGACAGCAATAAAAGCCAATTACAACAGGTGGGCACACATAACCCACACAGGGGACACCCCTAGGGCACCCAACACAGGTGAACAGGGACACAGTGCTACTGGGCCCCATTGAACATGTTCATTAAGGCCACCCTGTCAAGACTGGGAGACGTAGCAGATCTAATACATTGGAAAAAACACAGAGAGGCAGACAAAATGAGGAGACAAAGAAACATGTCCCAAATGAAAGAACAGGACAAATCCCCAGAAAAAAAAACTAAACAAAAAGGGGGCAATCTACCAGATATAGAGTTCAAAACGCTGGTAATGAGAATGTCAATGAACTTGGGAGAAGAATAAATGAACTCAGTGAGAACTTCAACAAAGACTTAGAATAAATACAACTCCACTATGCACTGAAGTGCTAGCAGCAATCAAAGCCCAATTACAACAGGAGGGCACACATAACTCACATAATGTATGCAAGTTATTCTTAAAAAATTCAAGAAAAAATGTTTTATGTACACAAACACACACATATACACACACACACACACACACACGGTGTGTGAACAAGAATGAGAGCATGTATGTATTATATAAATGATAAAGTAAATAGATGTCAATAATAGGTGAATCTGGTTCAAGAGTATATGGGCATTCTACATACTATTCTTATTCTTTGCAACCTTTCTATAAGCTTAAAATAATTTCTAAATAAAATATATTCTTAAAGTTCACATTCACAATTTTTAACAATCAGTTATAAAATACATTCCAGCAGTTTAGGTTATAGAGTTCTGAATAGTTACCTATGTCAGAGGTGATATAGGTTTATTAGCAGTTTTACGAAGCTTTTCCTTGATCTCTACTATGCTCACACTATACAAAATTCTCAGAGCATTTTCACTCTTTTCAAGTTTTGAAAAAACATAGAGAGAGTGAAACAGACAGGCAAACAGACAGACACACAAAGAGAGAAAGAAAAAGGGAGAAGAAAAAGGGAACTACTTTTAAACGAATCTATTCAATAGTAAGAAAACTAGGCTTTTAAAAATTTCTAAAACAGAAATAATTCTATAAATTAAGAAAAATAAATCTTTACAAGCTAGATGAGAAATAAGTTTTCAAATGATAGGATTAGTTCTACTGAATGGTTAAAGGACTTTGACCTGTAATAAACATGTCCAATTATAACACTGTTAAATTCAGTAAATTCTTAGGCTACACTAGAAAAGAAAATTATTTTGAAGTACTATTCAGATTTTGTGTGTATTCAGGGTGGAGACAGGAAATATACCTATGCAATAATTGTAACACAAGAATTTCACTGAAACCAGGAAAAAAAAAGCTAATGTATACAAATTGTAAGGCAATGCAATAAGAAGTAAAGATAATAGGTACAATACAATATTATTAGTGCTTTAAAATTTCCTTACAGAAAAACTTCCGAATGTGAAGACCTGTCCATCCATTAAAAGTACTGCCGTGTGGTTGCTGCCTGCCGTAACTTGTGTGCTAGGGCCTGGCAATGCTTGAACAAGTGTGGGACATCCCCTAGGTTAAAAAAACAACAACAAGAAAAGTAAGTCAACATCTTATGAGAACCAACTGAAATAAAAAACAATACACAAGCAATGCAATAAGAAGAAGAGATAATAGGCACTAGTAAGAATACTCAGTAAACTTATTTAGGTACTGTCTGCCTGTGTTCATTCTAGGTGCTCGGGTACAAAGATGAAACAGACATACTTGCGGACTTTAAGGAGATTATTAAAAAGATTTCCTAAATTCACTACTCTATTTATAGACAACATAATTTTTAATTTTTCTGCAAGACTGGTGTTATCTTTGTTTTTAAACAAAAAATTTTTGGGCCAGCTGAGTGGCGCGATGGTTAAGAACTGGCTTGGGACGCCAGAGGGCCCCGGTTCATATCCCAAATATGAGGGCCAGTGACACTGCCCTCTACAGCTAAGATGCTGAAAAACAGCTCAACCTGGAGCTGGGCTGCTGTGAGTCACCGGCGACGGCGTAAGCTGCAGCCCCTGCTGCAGTGGGTTGCCATGGGCTATCGTATGTAGCCAGCAGCCGCAGTGAGCGGCCGTCCAGAAGC